AACTTGCAGAGCGCCTTGGTAGTTCAAAAACTTGTCAGCATTGCTATCAGAGAGACGCTGTGCTGTTCATATGAGGATGTCCCTGATGGAGTGATCGAGTTCTGGACTCCTGGAGGCAGGGAAGAGGGTCCGTTTTGGGTGGGGTGGCTGGTGTCATGATTCAACCCTGACCCCCTTTCTGCTGTTACACCCACAGGTTATTACCGCCCTAGCCCCACAGCTCATTATACAGAGGACAGTCCTGGGGGGGATTTTGACTTCTTCTCGCGCCTGGTGAGCTCCTGGGAGGCTGCAGCTCTCATCCCTGGGAGCCCAGCTCGTGGTGTTGTGGTGAGATCTGGTGAGATGGGGCATCATGCCTGTTCAGGGTGGCTCTGCTTTGGTGCTGGGGCAAGCGTGGGAAGAGGAGGGAGAAGGCCCTCAGGTCTTGTGCTTCTCCTTGTTGGGGTGCTGTTCCAGTCCAGCCCTCTAAGGATTGTCTCCTGGTTGTAGGTCTGGGGGTGAAGGGGACTTTTGACCTTTGGCGGGGGGGGGTCCTGGTCTCACTCTGTTCTCCCCACAGGGGTAGTGCTGGGCCGAGGTGGTGGTGCAGTCTCTCAAATGCTCTGGCCTTTCCGTCTGGGACTAGGAGGCCCCCTGGGCTCTGGGCTCCAGCCCTTTCCATGGATCCACATTCGGGATCTGGCTGGGATCGTGTGTCATGCCCTGGAGAGTGAGTGCCTGCAAGGCGTCCTCAACGGTGTCTCCCCATCCTCCCCTGTCACCTCCAATGGCACCTTTGCTCAGGAGCTTGCTGCAGCCCTGGGGCGCCCAGCCCTGCTGCCAGTGCCTGCTTGGGCTGTGCAGGCTGTCTTTGGGGCAGAGCGGGCCGTCATGCTGTTGGAGGGCCAGAGGGTGGTGCCAAAACACACCCTGGAGAGTGGCTACCATTTCATCTTCCCTGACTTGTCTGGAGCTCTGAAGGACATTGTGGCTTGAAGACTCCTCGGTTGGGCTGGGTTGGGCCCTGTTTTTGTGAGCTCCCTGGCTCACATGCCTTCCCCTGGGTGAAAGAGGGTAGCCCTGCCCCTTCTTGACACTTACCCATCCCCATACAGAGAGAGTGAGTAATCTTTTCCCCTTCCACCTCCCTTTGTTCATCCCCGGTTTAGGAATCACCCCTCTTATTGCCATCTGCAATCTCCACATTACCTCTTTTGGGGAAGGGCACAAGCCCCAGTCACAATCTTGCTGAATCTGCCATCTTCCCTTTTCCACAGTGTGCATGTGAGCTGCTTGCAGAGCAGCTGGGGGGGTGTAATGTCTCTTCCCCTGAGAGACAGGGGTGGCAGCAGGAAAGAGGTTTTCAGGTGTTGTAATTCTCCTCCATGTTACTGGAAGTCCCTCTTCCTGTTTTTCCCCATGTCTTTTCCCCATGGTCACATAGAGACCTAGTTATGCTCTTCTGCTTTGCCTTTCTCAGTCTCATAGGGAATGGAGTTGTGGCTGTGGGAGAAGATCCATCCTGAGGGGGCGCAAAGGGTGCTGGATATGGATGGCTTGGAGACTTTGCCATCTCCTTTCTTGTGGTGGCTCTGTGCTGGTACCAAGTTGCTGTGTCAGAACCTCCAGCTGAGTCTAGGCCCAAGAGTCGCACCCCTCCAGGGTTGCATAACGCTGATGCTGTGCTGGGGATGAAGGAGAACACTGTTTTGCCAGCCTGTAGGGACAAGGGTGGTGGTGGGACTGTTGCCCCTGGACTGCTCTTGAGGCCTTGGATAAGTGTCGACTACATCTGAGCTTGTGCTGGGGAGAAACTGGGTGGTTTGTCTTGGTGTGAGGTAGTGCCAGGTACTGCTTTAGTCTAAAGGGAGCACTTCTCTAATCCCAGACAGGGTGGGTTTTCCTTACTTATCCCATGAGGTGGTACTTGTGTTCAGGGGGCTCACACTGGTTGGGCAGTGAGAATATCCAGGCTGCCTGGGCTGTCTTGGGAAGCAGTACCTCTTCTCTTGTGGAGAACGTTGCAATTTCATCATCTCATACAGTAAGGAAATGTATCCACATGCTTCCCTTAACCCATTTTCACATGCCAAAGTGGGTTGCGGGATGTGAAATCTACAGAGCAAGTAAGTTCATTATAGCACTGCTTCTGGAGAAATATTTCTAGTGTGATATAATTTTGAGCTACAAAAATATATTAAAAGGCACTTCAGGCAGTTGAAAAGACCTGCTCCATTCCTGAAATAAGAAACCATCCAGAACAAGAGTGGTCCACATATTTCTGGTTTATGCCAGGTTAATGTAGTCACAGTAGCTGAAGGGTCAATCCTGGTGGAGTCTAGATTCCCCACTCACCTGCCTCTTTGTTCAGTCCATACTGGAGACAGAACAGCAATGTGCTGACTTTCTGGGCAGGAAGGAGTGGGACTGTACAGCTGGAACTGGAGTTAGTCCTTTCAGTCAGTGTGAGCACAGCCAGGTGAGCTGGGACTTTGGGAATAGCTATGAAAGCAACATTGCCTGAAATAAATGTGGCTTGCTTGGATTGTGTCTGTGCTGTGTGTAAGTTAGGTGCAGATTCCTTCCTCTTCCCATATGCCTCAGTTTCCTTTCCTCAAGAGCGGGCTGACCTACTCTGAGTTACAGGCCCAGTTCATTGTGGGGCAATACAATGGGGACAATCATCAGTTCTTTGTCTTTGGTTACTCTAGCTACCTTTTTAGAGCCTCGGACTTCAGTCTGCTTCCCCAGATGTTGTGGGCTACAGCATCCTTCTGTCAGGCAATCTGGTTAGCCAGCCCAGTAGGTTGTTTCTGTACCTGTATGTACCTTGATGATTGCAACAGCTTTGGGTTGTGACTGGAAATAAAAACAAGTATGACTGGAGAAGCACTGGCAACACACAGCTCTTCTGAAAGAGGGTTGCATATCCCATGAAAGACCGCCACTAAGCAGAGTTCCCAGGCCTCAGACTCCCTGCCTGGATGTGTAACTCACTCAGGATTTTGAAGGATTGCTTCTGCATGATGTTTGGCTTAAACACATGTCACAGGACTTAAATGAGCTTCTTGACACCTAAATCCCAGTATGGGATCTGAAAACACTGGCTGCTGGGTGCAATTAGGACTTTCCATCATGATAAATTCACAAACACACCATGCCCCATTGTCTACTGTGGAGCCAGGAAACATGTATTAGGGTGACAGCATGCTGAGATCTAGATTGGATTTTGGACCAGTGTATTTTTGATGACCATAAGGAAACCCTGGCCCCCAGGCTGCAAGACTTTGTGGTCCTAAGTACAGGTCTTCTGCTATCCCAACGTTGGCACAGCCAGCCCTGTAGTGCTCGGAGGTAGCAGAGTGTTTCTGCAAGCATGTCTGATCCAACTGCAGTGCCCCAGATGTGCTCTGAAGATTTACTCTGACGTGGAGCAAGTCTCTCTGTTCTTTTAGAGGTGAATACTTACGACTGTTAAGACATGTCAAAAGCAGCCGCTGCTTCCAGCAGCCCTGGTCCAGGACCCTCCTTCCTGGCCACTGGCCTCCCAGCCTGGTACCCAGGGTCTTTGCCTGAGCTGAGGGCCGCAGCAGCTGCTTTCCTGTTTGCAGGTTCAATCAGCCCTGAAGCTGAGCACCTATCAGGAGCACGTGTGCACACACACAGACAAGTAACACACAGACAGAAGACACTGATGCGGCTGTTCACACAGACTGCCCCAGCCAAGATGCTGCTGTCAGCAGCGCCCACACATGGGACCCATGTAACATAAACACAGCCAGCCCTGTCCCTTCCCACTCTAGGGCTGGCAGACTCAGATGACACCCTCAGGGTTCACAAGCATATGCACACTCATGAATCCATTGAGCACCAGCATGACCCCTCTGTCCACTTAGCACCCCTACCTGGACCCCAGCCCTTTGACCCATCCCATGGGTCCCCTACTCGCTGACTGATCCAGCTTGATACACCAAACATGCAGTACTCACACACTTGTCCCGCAGGCACCCCACACTCACAGATATCCCCAGGTACCAGCATGGACTCCTTGCCTGCCTGATACCCCTGCCCAGACCTGAGGCTTCCTACTTGCCAGCTGGTCCAGCTTGAATTTTGCTGGTGGATGTGCACACCCCATGGACAGCCGGTTTGTGGGAGACACGCTCACCTCCCCCAGCATCCTGCACCAGGCACACAAGCTGAGAGCTGCTGTTCCGCTCCAGTTGCTGGCGCGGGGCTCCTCACTCCCCTCAGTCATGCTGGTCCCCCCAGTAACTGGTTTTGTGGACATGCAGAGTTACCATCGCAGTGGCTGTAGGGTGAAGCCCCCCTGGCTCCAATAGCTGACACCACAGGCCAGGGGTGCCTGCTTCCCCAGTCTGACTTCAGTAGCTGGCACCAAATCCACTACGCTGATCCCCCAGCAGCTGGCACTTAGTACCTGCAGCAGATGTACACCCGGGGTAAAGTGAGATGATGCAGAGAGAGTTATTAAAAGATTTAATAAGAAGACAGGGCAGACTGCAGTGGTCAAGCACAGAGCTCAGCCAGACCAGCACTGACTGGCCCAGATTTACACCCAACGAGCCTCTCATACCCCTTTTCTGTCTACCCACCTCTTTGTGGCTCCCAGCTCTCCCTCCTCTGCACATTCCCTCAAGAGCTGACACGGTCCCACCGACTCCATGCAACATCCTGGACACTCGGGTTTGCATCCTCACCAGTTGCGGTGTCCTGGTTGGCTATGGCTTCTTGAGAGCTCATCAATTAGTGTGACTGATGACGTTTGTTTCTGGTTATTGACTTTGTTAATACTGATTGGTCAGGTTTTATGACTCTGTGTCTGTCTCCCTCCCTTTCCTTATCTTGCCAACTGTAAAAATAAATGTTCTCAGACTCGCTCCACACATCCTTACCAATTAGGGTGACTGATCAGGTTTGTTCTCATTAGGGCCTCCCTTATCATGTGTCAGGTTTATCTCTGTATGTTCTTGTTTATGGCTCCTTTGACCAGATAGCCTTAAAAGAGCAGACACTCTCCTTCCACATTCCCTGACACTCCTCCACTGACCGGTAATATTGGAAGAAGCTGCACCACTCCTCACTCCCACAGAGCCTGAATGGGCCCCCCTGTGGGCTGCACACAGTGGGGCAGGAGCCTGACTCCTCTGGGCATTAACCGGCGCGGGGGCGGGCGTGCAAGGGCTGCGGTTGCTGGCCACCCGGTCAGAGGCAATAGACATGAACATAATGAGTCACTTGGATCAGTAACACCTCTTTAAGTGTAACAGTTCATATAGGCAAGTCCAATTGTTTGGCTTTGATAGCTGCATCTCTCCAGGCACCAGGTCATGGGATGTCTGCGGCCAGCTGGATCCTGCAGTTTTGTTCTCCTGCGCCATGGTAGGAATTAGGCAGATGCCACCTCAACAGGGCACATCCCTAGGTTCTGCTTTAATAAAAGAATCTGAGTTCCTTCTTCTGCTATGTTTAATATCCAATACTAGTTACAGCTGGAGCTGGGTGCTTCCGAAGAGAGACCCCATCTGTGGATTGTTACTGGATTTTACAGTCTCTATAGGTCGCTTGATTTCCTGATAGCACTTCTGCTCATCCAATCCTGTTCGCCCAGTCTGGGGTCTTCTCTTCTTCTGATTTGCTCTTGCAGCCTCCAGGCACTCTTTTTGTCTGTGTCTTGAGACATTTCCTTATCTTTTGTTACAGAATATCCTGTACTTAAATTTTCACTTACACTTCCTTACCGAGCAGTTACATTTCCATACATAAAAACTAAAGTACAATCCATATGGCCTAAGGCTTTGTTTACTTTAGTCACTAGTGCTAAGCTCTGGCACAAATTGGTCTCTCACTACAGTAACATTAGTCCACGCTACACATTCTTTCACAAATTGTAAGATATTGCTGTTTTCCTAATTAAGGTGGGCATTTCCCTTCCCATACCCTTCCATTTCCAGTGAACCATTGCTTTATAGCCAATATCATTATTGATTCAATAGCAGGGAGTCATCTGTTACTTACTGGAGGTCTTGTGCATACTTTGATAAGCATCTCTTTTCATCCTCCAAACTACAAAGCCCAGTCACTAGGCCTGCTGTTGGAGCCGTTTACACTTCCTATTATCCTTCTAATGTTCTGTTGAGATCTTTGCAACCCCATTCACCCAATTTAGCCAAGGATTTACTAGCACAGGTCCCATTTGGATGCCCACATAGTAATGCTCTAGAAGTCTGGTTACAACTTTATCACTGTGTACATATTAACAAAGGATCAGTCCCCCCTCGCATAAGGATTATATATGCATACTCTCAGGAATACTGACAGCTCAACCACATCCTGCCGATTACAAAACTGTTAAAGTATGTCAGGAGCAGCTGCCATCTCCAGCAGCCTCCTCCCAGAACCCCCCTGCCTGGCTGCTGGAGCCCAGCCTGGTGCCCCTATGCCAGGGGTCTCTGCCCAGGATGAGGGATGCAGCTGCCACTTCTTCAGCTGCGGGTTCAACTGGTAGCAAAGCTGAGCACGTGTCTCAGACACACACAGGCACAGACATAAAGGGACATTGGCAGACAAGGTGCTGCCATCAAATAAGGTGCAGCCATTTACAGCACCTACACGTAGGACTTGAATAACACATGCCTTCATCAATTAGTGTGACAATCAGGTTTGGTTCGAATCACTGTCTCCCTTATCATTTGTCAGTCAGGTTTGTGTCCCTGCATGTTCTTGTTTATGGCTTCCTCCTGTTATTATTATTATCATCATCCTTTTTTTTTTTTTAATTGAAAAGTGTCTTGACCAGATACCTTTAAAGGAGAAGACATTGTCCTTCTGCATACCCTTACAGGAGGGACTAGCATGAGTGAGGTGAGCGAGGAGCTCAGTGCTGGTGGCTGGAGCAGGACCATGGATCCTGTGACCCTTCATCTCTGAAGGGAAGTGTGTTCCAGCCTCTCACTCTTCCTCCCTCAGTATGTTGACCACTGCTGGCTTCAGGCTGGTTTCTCTCATACTTGTTATCCTGGTACTGGTATTCATTCCCAGGGGTTGTGGCCACAGTTTGAGAAACTCTGCTAATAAATAGCCTGTAACAACTCCCAGATTCATTCTGGTCACTGGGTCAGGGCAGCAGAGACACCTGTGACTACCAGACACCTCTGACTACCACCTGTAGACCTCTGAACAGCCACCAAAGAGAGCCCAGAGGCAAGACCCTCTCAGAGATCAACAATTTAAGCACTTCCCTGAATTCCAGACTCTATACCAAAGAAGAGGGGATATTCTGGGATCCCACATCATGGACCCTTAAACAAATGGGGAGCACCCGTGCAACTCAGTTGTTTTAAAGGAACACATTCCTCCTCCAAACACCCCAGGTCAGCTATGGCCCTTGCACGCCGAGACCTGGAAGAACTTTGCTGGTTCTGAACCCCAGCGCTGAATTCACTCACTTGTTTATCTGCAGGAACATGTTTTGCCTAAGCCAGTCACCTAGGAGGAAGTCCTCTCCTCTGTTTTCACACATCTACAGAACATTTGTCTACATCTGAACTTGTCAGCATAATGCCTTTAAATCAGGTTGGAGAAATAAGGCCTTTGGGGATCTTCCACTTCTGATTCTCCCTTAGGCATTGCTTCAGGAAGAGAGGACTCCTGCCTGCCGCTTCCTTGATGAGATCTCCTCTGGCTGTAGTGCAGTACCAAGGGATGAGCTTAAAAATACAATTCAGCATCCTCACCCTAGGCAGCTACTGCCTTACTTGTGTTGTGAGACACACACCTGGCCACCCAGCCGTGGCCCCAACTGATTGTGTGTCTCTGGATGGCCCTATGCCATGTCTGCCAGCTCAGTGCAGTCATCCGGGATTCCCTAGGGAGCAGCAACCCTTGAGGCGCTCCTGAAGTGGGACAGGCTACCTCACAAAGGTAGGTTCATCTCACGTGAACTGCCCACCAGTGTTGTCTGCTTCTCTCCGTTGACTACAGAGTGAGCTGAGATAACTAGTTAAGACTTGACTAAATAGTACCTGCCTCAGGTCATGGGGCTGTGCTCCGCTTACAATATAAGCCGTCTCAGCTACTTCTTTTTCCTACACACAAAATCCCCATCGTAGTTCTGCTCCAGTTATCACGAGGTTCCTGCATCTGCACGTAGTCATGATCCATACAAATGAAGTGAAGCACTGCAGCACTCCAAGAACTCTTTAATTAGCCCCATGGTGACAGGATTTCAAATCTGATTATTATTATTATTATTATTATTATAATGATCAGAAGCTCAAGGTTTATTTGAGATTTTGTTTTCTTCTTGTATCCCAGCACTTGCCTTAACACAGGCATCAGGAATCCTGTAATGGAAGGTTGCTGGAGTCTTCTGCTGGAGGTAGATTTGCACGCCCTGCTCCTCTGAGTAGAGCTTTGCTGTATTATCTTGTAACTTGGCAGTGACATCTAGGAGCTTTTGTGAAGTTGGATCACAGAAACAGCAGGTAGCTGGAGGTATTTACTCTTTCTGACAAAAATACTGAAAAGACGACTAATTCCACGCACTTGCAATGACAGTGTATATACAGAGGAAAGAGAGTATCACTAGGAAAGAGAAAATGACCTGAAAATGCTTGCTTACCACTTGTAATATATCTTGCTTAATGGAGACAGCTTCAGAGACACTACCCACATGTTGGGACAGGTCTGAAGGAAGCTGCACCGTTGATAGCTGTCTTACAGCCTTTCCGTCTTTCAGACTTTTCCCAGAGCTTGATCTTAGCCTTATGCTAGAGAGATTACTGAAGCAAAAGAGAAAGTTTGGGTTTGAATTGAAAGCAGATTGCCTTCTCTTCTCTCTCCCCATACTTGTGCAAAAATACTCTGTTTTTACGGAAAATAATAACAAAGAAGTCTCTATACAGGATTAGCAGTGAATTGTTAAAAAACAGGATTTCGTACCAAAAGTGACTTTCCTTTTTGGTCCTGTGGAAAAAACAGCAATTTACAAGCAGAAAATAGAAATATGTTTATAAGGATTTAGAATGCAATTCTTCACTGACACTAAGGAGCTAACTGTGAAGGAAAAAAAATTACAGACTCCCTGCAGAGTATTCACCAAAGGCAATGGGAATGTGCAGAAAGTTCTGGTCTCTACAGTTCTCTGAAATTCCATTTTGGGAATCAATTACCAGTTTGTAGGAGAAAAGAAAAAACTCCTGGGTTATTCTACATATGATTTTTCCTTGTAAGAAATTAGATTTTTTTTAAACTGAATCAAATAAAGGTAGTAACTGCCCATCAGGGAAATGGCTCCAATCTTCTTGAGCTGGGCGGGGGGAAGTGGGCAGCCGCCCTCTTCTCTTAAAACTTCCTCACAGTGTCCCCAAACTCATTGGATATTATAACATTATTTTTCTAAAACTTTAAACACTGTCTCTGTGATTTTAACTCATGCCATTTGTTTGACTGAAAAGAAGCTTGAAAAAAGGACTGTGATGCAAGAGGTCTTTGTAATCATCTAATGTAAGGAAACACCAGAACTTGGAAAGGAATTGGGGTTGAGACTGAGCTAAACCGTAGTGTCCATGGAGTCTAACAAGGGGTAGCCTGACCACAATGATGTCAGCTTTAGGGTAAGCAGATTCACTCTCCAGACTTCTTGACTCTGATGGGAGCTGAGACAGCCACCACACTTGTCCTTATTTATTTGTTAGCGCACAGGCCACCTAGCTTAATGTGGACTTATATGTCAGCCTAGCCCAAACGATAAGAGTGGAAGCTTAGGGAAAGCAGATCCTGTGTGGGTGACCAGTCTCACCTCAGTCCCTGGGAAGATTATGGACCCATTGCTAAACACGTGAAGGACAAGACGGTGATTGGGAAGAATTACAATGGATATCCTGAGGATAAATCACGTCCAATGAACTTCATGGCTTTCTATGATGAGGTGACTGGCACTGTGGATGAGGGCAGAACGGTGACTGTTGTACAGCCTGACTTTAGCACATAGTCTTCCATAGCCTCCTTATCACCAAAGTGGTGGGATATGGGCTTGATAAATGAATGATAAGGTGGGTGGAAAATTGGCTGGACTGCTGAATTCAAGAAGTGGATATCAGTGGTGCAAAGTGCAGTTGGTGAGAAGTAACTAGTGGTGTCCCTCAGGGATCAATACTGTGGCCGATACTGTTTAATGTCTTCATTGAGCTGGATGATGGGATGCAAGGTTCTCTCAGTGAGTTTGTGGAGGACACCAAAATGGGGAAAGCAGTCAGTATGCTGGATGGCAGAGCTGATATTCATAGGGATCTGGACAGTTTGGAGACATAAGCTGGCATGAACATCATGAATTTTGACAAAAGTAAATAATGACATCTTGCATCTGGGAAAGGACAATCCTGTGCAATCAGTAGAGGCTAGTGGCTGACTGTCTAGGAAGCAGCTTTGCAGAAAAAGACCCTGGTAGACAAATAGCTGAATAGGAGATGGCAATGTGTTCATGTGGCAAAGAAGGCAATACACATCCAGGGCTCTGTTAGCAAGGGTCTAGCCAGCTAGCCCAGGGAAATGATCCGACCCGTCTATTCAATGCTTGCGAACCCCATTTGCAGTACTGTGTCCAGTCTAGGGCTCTCCAGGACAAGAAAGGCAGTGATATACTGGAGTGAGTTCCTTGGAGGGCCACCAAATTAATCACTGGGCTGGAGCACATGACATGCAAGGAGAAGTTGAGAGAACTGGATTTGTTCATCCTTAAGACGAGATGTCCTGGTTTTGGCTGGCATAGAGTTAATATTCTTCCTAGTAGCTGGTATAGTGCTGTGTGTTGGATTAAGTATGAGAATAATGTTGATAACACACTGATGTTTTAGTTGTTGCTGAGCAATGCTGGGAGGGGACACAGCCAGGACAGCTGACCCAAACTGGCCAAAGGGATATTCCATACCATATGACATCATGCTCAGTATATAAACTGGGGGGAGTTGGCCGGGGGGCAGGGACTGCTGCTCGGGAACTGGCTGGGCATCGGTCAGCCGGTGGTGAGAAATTGCATTGTGCATCACTTGCTTTGTATATTGTTTTATCATTATTATTGTTGTTGTTGTTGTTACTATTATTATTATTTTCCCTTCCTTTTCTGTCCTATTAAACTGTCTTTATCTCAACCCATGAATTTTACTTTTTTTTTT